TGCGTATGGTGCGCAGACCAGAGCATAGGCGGGATTGGCACCAGCCAAGGCAAGTGTTTCATTTGACTGATGCCCCATTCCGGTATTCTCTGTTATGACATGGGTAGTAGAGCGGTGTGGAGGCTGGGGGTGTTGGGAGGTTAACTGTTGCTCGCAGGGGCTTCTTGGAGCCGTGCAGGCTCTTCGGGTGCTGGTGCGCGAACTGGTAGCCGTGGAGGCAGGAGTTGCCGTTTGGTTTGAGCAATAGGTGGCCCAAAGCCTGTAGTCCACTCCCTGTGCGAACTAAGGCCATGGCTGCCAGACTTTTTTTTCTCAAAATTCAGTACTTTCGGCATTTTCAGCGCCAAATAATCAGTACTTTTTAGTAAACCTTTGTTTAGGCGCAAAAATTGGACAAACACACATATAAAAACAAATTTCACATTTTACATATATAAAGGTCAATTAATAAAATTAAATATGTAATATTTTCAACATACATATATATATATATTAAAAATCACATTCTTTTATAAATATTAATTAAAATGCATTTCCTCTAATATTTGTGGAGTTTGTTCCATTTTGACTAATTGTTGGCCGTATTACTTTTTAAGAATACTACAAGAAATTACCTGAAATTCATTTTAAAACTCAATTTTGGAGCCAACTTTTCTGTAATCTGGCGGCAATTGAAGCTACTCGTATTAACGCTACTTCGGAAACAAGTTCTTCAACCCTTGAGGTTAAAACTAGAGATGCCAGATCAAAAAAAAAAGATCTTTGAATCGATTCGCAACACCGATTGATATATTCTGCCAAACAACGACTTTTACTTTATTTTATTAAAGAAACAAAACACTGCCGTCAGACTAACACTAAAATTACAAACATTATTGTAAGTAATTTTTAAAACATACATTGCTCATAACGGTTCCAATATTCGGATTTGTCCAAAAGCCATCAGGTAGCTAAAAAACCATAAATATTAAAAAAAGTGAGATAAGGGTTTTCTATATTAAGTTAATATGAGCATTCAATAAAAACTTAATAATTTTTTAGCCCTACTTAGGAAAATGTTAAATTTTTTTCGACTATTATTTTTTTTGTCACAAAAGAGAAACAATTTTATGTTGCATTTCAAAAGTAACAGCTTTTTTAAAAAGTGTATTAGGCATACACTAACCTAATAAAGCTTACACGTAAACAGATTTTTTTGCAATACAGAAAATTTTATGTTCGCTAACTACACATTTCACTCCTCAATTACCTTTTTATAAAAAATTTTAGTATGCAGTTTATAGCACATTTTCTTCCATGCAAAGTATGATCCACAAAATTTGTATATGAAGAAAATGCCTAGCACCTACAACAAAAGAAATGGCTAAGAATCAGTAGCTTGAAAATTACACTTTATTATACTAAAATTGAATGGGCTACAAAACAGCATACCTACCCGAAATTTTCCCAGAAAATATTGTTAGCTTATATACTGCCAGTCATTTGTATAGTTGCAGCCTTTGTTGAAATTAGTGAATATTAAACAATCTAAGAGGCGGGGAGTGTACATATACTATGTATATCAATGAAATATTCATCTATTAATAAACTCATTAAGTCGGCAAAATAAAGCCTTTAAAGTGAGTCGACATTGCATGCTCATGAAAACACTCACTGAGGGGGCCATGATTGTTTTATAACGAAGAGCTATTCCCCAAAGGCTTGAAATGCTTCAATTTTTTTTTTCAATATTATTTTGCTCCAATTATTTTGCTTAGATGTAATATCTAACCAGTTCCGAGCAAAAATATAATATCTAAATAGTTTGTGTAATTTTAATATTTGCGGCATTTCATCATCGATTGCTTTAATAAACACCATGTACAATTTTGTTTATTATTTAGGGATGCAAATTTTGAACAGTAACATCGATACATCGATGTTTCGATGCATCGGAGAAAATAGCATCGAGGCTAAAATACATCGCCAGAGAACTATCGATATATCGATGGTTTCCGATGTTTTAAAATTTGTTAAGTTCTAGTCAATTTTAAAACAATATTGAATACTTTAATAATTATAAATGTATTTTCCTCTATTTTGTTATCCTTTCTATAGCCTTTCTATAATTAGAATCAAAATGCATACCATCGTAAGGTCGTTCGGTTCTGCTTTAACGGTTAGGTTATTACACCGTGCAACAGTCAATTTTACACACGAAGAAATCAGAATATTCACAAAACTAGGAGCCAAATATAGTATAACTCCGTTTTTAGTTTTTCTCTCTGACGTCAGGATTTTTTTGAAAAGGACTTTAAAATTTCTAGAATATGATTGAAAAAATTATTCAAAAGATTCGATGCAGTGTAGAATAACAATATGGCTATCGATTAAAAGGAAAAATCCTGTAGAATAGAAAAATTAATTAATTTTGGGGTGTACCAGGACGAATAAGCATTGAAAATGTCCTTTTAAAATTTTATCCTTGAATATCCTTTGAAATTTCCAATATTTATTTTTAAAAATATATGTCAAGAACTAATGTGTTAACTACCACATCCTCCAATTTCGTAGTTCTAGCTTTATTAGTTTAGATAAAAAAATTTACACTTCTCTTTATAAGATATTGATAGTTACAGTATACATAAATGAAGATACTGGAATCGTTATTTTGGAACAATGTATGCGTTCTAAAAGAGCAAACTTACCGTAGTTTTGAAAGGACATTTTCAATATTTATTCGTCCTTGTGCAACAAAGGATTACATTTTTTTAATTCTACAGAATTTTTCCTTTTAACTGATACCCATATTGTTACTCTATAATGCGCCAAATCTTTTAAATAATATTTTTATTCAATCATATCCTGGAAATTTCAAAGTCCTTTAAAAAAATTCTGATGTCAGAGAGAAAAATTAAAAACGGAGTTATACTATATTTGGCTCCTAGTTTTGTGAATATATGGATTTTTCGTGTGTTTTAAATTTTTTTTGGTTTTTGTCGCACGGCGTTAGCATTCAGAATGAAGCCAACAATTTTATTGAGCTTGGGCCGTTTTTTATGCTAAATGTTGCAGAAAAGCAGCAATAATTTACAAAGGGAAAAGTTACAGCTGCTATTTCGGATATCACCACATCTGATCATCACTTCTTCAACCGTGGTCACTTAGGAGATGTGGTGATCTCCGAATTAGCAGCCGATCACACTACAGAACCATGCCACTTAGCTTTTCGAATGGCTACTTTATAAGTTCTTATTTTAATTTAAAAATAAACGGTGATGATTTAGGTATGTATGTATGTGAATACATCGGGTTAAGCAATATTAAAAGCTTTCCTAGATTGGTTTGGAAACGTTTTTATTTCAGAAGGCAAGCAAACTAGTAAAAGGGGAATGGAAAATGCCTAAACTTGTATGAATAAATATATTTTTTCATCAAACCATGGTTTAATTTTTAACTCCACTATTTTGGTGATGAGTTAATTAAGGTCTATCACGTCAAATGTCCAAGGCGCACTGAGCGGTAGGAAAATTCGAAAACTGGTTTCTGNTATATTTGGCTCCTAGTTTTGTGAATATATGGATTTTTCGTGTGTTTTAATTTTTTTTTTGGTTTTTGTCGCACGGCGTTAGCATTTAGAATGAATCCAACAATTTTATTGAGCTTGGGCCGTTTTTTATGCTAAATGTTGCAGAAAAGCAGCAATAATTTACAAAGGGAAAAGTTACAGCTGCTATTTCGGATATCACCACATCTGATCATCACTTCTTCAACAGTGGTCACTGAGGAGATGTGGTGATCTCCGAATTTGCAGCCGATCACACTACAGAACCATGCCACTTAGCTTTTCGAATGGCTGCTTTATAAGTTCTTATTTTAATTTAAAAATGAACGGTGATGATTTAGGTATGTACATATGTGAATACATCGGATTAAGCAATATTAAAAGCTTTCCTAGATTGGTTTGGAAACGTTTTTATTTCAGAAGGCAAGCAAACTAGTAAAAGGGGAATGGAAAATGGTTTAATTTTTAACTCCACTATTTTGGTGATGAGATAAATAAGGTCTATCACGTCAAATGTCCAAGGCGCACTGAGCGGTGGGAAAATTCGAAAACTGGTTTCTATGGATTTTCCAAACATATTCATATGTTCTACTTATTTTTTTAAATTTAT